TTGGCCTTTTTCTTTAGCTGCTCTTAATATTTTCTCTTTATTCTGTAGGTTTGATGTTTTGATTATTATGTGGCGAGGTGACTTCTTTTTCTGGTCCAGCCTATTTGGTGTTCTGTAAGATTCTTGTATTTTCATAGGCATATCCTTCTTTAGGTTAGGGAAGTTTTACTCTATGATTTTGTTGAATATGTTTCCTGTACCTTTGAGCTGTATATCTTCGCCTTCTTCTATACCTATTATCCTCAGGTTTGGCTTCTTCGTGTGTCCCATATTTCCTGGATATTTTGTGTTAGGGATTTTTTGGTTTTGAGATTTTCTTTGGTTGATGACTGTATATCCTCTAATGAGTCTTTAACACCTGAGATTCTCTCTTGTATCTCTTATATTCTATTGGTGATACTTGCATCTGTAGTTCCTGATCATTTACTCAGCTTTTCTATTTCCAGCATCCCCTCATTCTGTGTTTTCTTTATTGTTTGTATTTCAGCTTTCAATCCTTCAACTGTTTAAGTTGCTTCCTTCATGTGTTTGGTTGTTTTTTCTTGGTACTCTTTAGATTCTTTAAGAGATTTGTTTATTTCTTGAATATTTTGGTTCATTTTTTCCTCCATTTCATGTATTTTTGTTTGTTTTTTCTTCTATTTCTTTAAGGGATTTCCTCGTTTCCTCTTTGAGGGTCTCTATCATCTTCATAAAATAATTTTTAAGGTCTGTCTCTTCTTCATCTATGTTGTGCTTTTCAGGTCTTCCTGGCATTGGGTCTTTCTATCACTGAGTGAGTTCTTATTCCGTCTTCTTCCCATCTCCCTTCCAGTGGGTGCAGGTGGGGTCTTTCTGTCTCCACTGGTCTCCTTCTCTCCTGAAGCTGAGGCTGGGCATGCCGGAGGGTGGGGTCTGGAAGGGCTTATGTTTTTCCTGTGTGTGCTGATCCTCTTGATGCCAGGAGTGGGCCCCTAGAAGATTGAGGGAGTGGATGGTGGGTGAGGAAAGGGTCCCAGGAGGACCCAACATCACCTGGGACTGGGCATGCAGGTGTGAGGAGCACTGCTGCGGGTTGGGTCTGTGAAGAGTGAAGTCTTTCCTGTGTGGGCAGGTCCTCTCAATGCCTGGAGCAGCCTCCGGAAGATCTATAATTTTCTTTTACTGTTGAGTCTTTGTATTGAGTGGGAATCAAGATTCACTAGACTCAGTACAGGTTAGATGAAGTTTATTCAGAGAGATAACACTTACACAAGAGGAGGGTGGCTGCCACAGGTTCCAGCTCCAAGGATTCTCCCAGGCTGTTCCCTGTGACTAGACCAGCAGCAAGAGAGCACTCTGGGGTCTGCACCCCAGATCTAGTCCTGTCCTCCATCACATCCTCACCTGTGACCATGCCCAAACATACGTGGTCAGTTCTACAGGTATGGGCAGGTGGATATCTCACTACACCTTTGTGTGACTTTGGTATCAGTGGGCTCTTAAGAATTAGGAGAGCTGGTCATGATGGCACATGTTCTAGTGCTCTAGAGGCAGAGCCTGGTAGACCTCTGAGTTCGAGGCTAGCCTGGTCTACAGAGTTCCAGGACAGTAGGGCTACACAGAGAAACTCTATCTCAAAGAGAAGGAGGAGGAATAAGGAGATAAGAAGGAAAGAAAAAAGAAGAACTAAGAAAGGTGCCTTCGGTTTCTATTTTGGGAAATAATTTGAGAGATGTTAGCATGAATTCTTCTGCAACTTGATGGTGGGTTTTTTGTTTGCTTGTGAGACTTTTTTTTTTTTTTTTTGGTTTTTCGAGACAGGGTTTCTCTGTAGCTTTGGAGGCTGTCCTGGAACTCACTTTGTAGACCAGGCTGGCCTCGAACTCACAGAGATCCGCCTGCCTCTGCCTTCCGAGTGCTGGGATTAAAGGCGTGCGCCACCAACGCCCAGCTGTTTGTGAGACTTTTAACTACTGTTTTCTATTTCATTGGGGTTATGGATCTGTTTAAATTGATTATTTGATCTTATTTAACCTTTGGTAAGTTAAATATGTCAAGACAGTCACTGATTTTAGTTTTCCATTTTGGTGGAGTATAGAAGTTTCTCTGGGTCTTGGCCAATAGCTTAGGCTTGACTTCTGCCAGCTCTTACAACTTAAATTAACCCATTTCTATTAATTTATTTGCTGTCCTGAGGCTTGTTTACCTCATCTGTGAACTTCCCATGTTGCTTCTTCCTTATCTGGCATGAGACTCCTCCAATTACTCCTACTCTGCTCTTCTTCCCAGCATTCTCTCTACCCCAAAAATCCTGCCTAGCTATCAATCTAATAAACTCTTTATTAGCAATTCACAATTTACAGAAGAATTATTCCACATAAGTGGAATATAATTTTAAAGTATATCTTCATGATTCTCAGAATTTCCTCAGTGTCTGTAGTAATTTCCCCCTTTCATTTATAATTTTATTAATTTGTATCTTCTGTCTTTTAGTTAATTTGGGTAAAGGTCTGGATAATCTTGTTGATTTTCTCAAAGAATCAATTATTTGTTTCATTGACTCTTTATATTGCTTTTTTGTTTGTTTCTATTTCAATGATTTCAGACCTGACTTTGATTATTTCTTGACATATATTCTTTCTAGGTGTTATTCTTGTTGTTCTAGATTTTTCAGGTGTGCTATTAAGTTACTAATATGAGATCTCTCCAATTTTTTGATGTAGGCATTTAATGCTATGAGTTCATAGAACTACTATAGGTTTGGGTATGTTATGTTTTCATTTTCATTTAATTCTAAACAGCTTAATTTCCTTCTTGATATTTGTCTTGACTCATTTTTCACTCAGTAGTGAGCTCAGTTTTCATAAGTTTGTTTCTGTTATCCACTTTAGTTCACGGTGATTAGATGGGGTGGTGTTACTTCAATTTTCTTATATCTCTTGAGTCTTGCTTTGTGTGCAAGGATGTGGTCAGTTTTAGAGAAAGTTCCAGGAGCATTACACTGGCATAAGATTTGATCTGTTGATGCTTTCCTTTGTTGAATAAACTTTCTTTTGCTTTAGGAGAAGATTCCTTAGGCATTCCAGCTAAGTTGGAAGCTTTGCTGGGTGAGGTCTTGCCCTAAAGGCACAACTCCCTTTATTTCATTTCTTCTCAACTCTTCCAGCACAAACCAAGGTTCTAACATTAAAATTCCTAGTGTTCTTTTTTCCCCTTTAACTGTCCATTTTGTATTTTTTTCACCCTGCTTGCTCTTTTCCATTATATATCTGAGTAAGAAAAATCACTAATAACCACATGACACAGTCAATATTAGAATGTCTTGAAATCTCTTGTGCCGGTGGTTTAGTCCAAAACTCTTCAATTTAGCCTCTGCAGATTGTTTTGGAAAGGTTAGAAAAAAAGCTATGTTCTAAAGAATGGTTTTACCCCAGTTGCTAATATTGTTCCCTCCTGAAACCTCTTAAACTGTGCCTACACAGTTCTCAACACTACTGCCCTCTAAATTTCTATTAAGATGCTTGTTAATCCCTATTTATAGAATTCTACCATTCTCCTAATCCAAAATCCCAAAGTCCATATTCTCCCAACAACCTACCTGATCAGGCCTGCCTGTCACAGCAATACACCACTCCCTGGCACCAACTTCTGTCTTAGTTACTGTTCTATTACTCTAAGACAACCCATTACCAAGGCAACACTTAACATTTACTTGGAGGCTTGCTTACCGTTGAGAGGGTGAGTCCATGACCATTGTGTGGGGAGCATGACAGTGGGCAGGCATGGTGCTGGAAGTAGTAGCTGAGAGTTTATTATCTGATCCATAAGCAGGAGTCTCGAGAGCACGTTGCGGGGGGGGGGGAGGACACACACACACAGAGAAGAGAGAGGGGGAGAGAGAAGAGAGACAGAGACAGAGAATGGGAGAGAGCAGGGAAGGGAGAGAGAGAAAGGGAGGGATGGAGGGAAGAAGAAAGGGAGGGAGGGTATCTTGGCCTGACATGGGGCTTTTAAACCCTCAAATCCCATGCCCAGTAACACACCTCCTCCAACAAGGCCACACCTCCTAATCCTTCCCAAAACAGTCCCACCAGCTGGGAAGCAAGCATTCAAACATAAGAGCCTAAGAGGACCATTGTCCTTGAAGTCAGCAAAGGCAGTATTTCAAGCTATCACTTACAGAAGTATAAAATATCTTACAAAATCTATGCCATAAGAGGACCATTGTCCTTGAAGTCAGCAAAGGCAGTATTTCAAGCTATCACTTACAGAAGTATAAAATGTCTTACAAAATCTATGCCATAAGGCAGTAGGGTGTGCTATACTATATGTGATTTCCCACTGAAATTCAAATTCTTTTGTATGTATGTATGAACATGTTCATGTATGTAAATGCAGGTACAGGTACATGTGTAGGTATATGCCTGTGGAGGCCAGAGGGACAACCTTCCCCAGTCTCTCACTAAACTGGAACTCACTGATTAGGTTAGGCTGGCTGGCCAACAAGTCCCAGGGATGGACCTGTCTCCATCTCCCAGTGCTAGGGCCATGTGTACCCCTTTAACCAGCTTATATAATATGTTAGTTCTTGGGATCAAGCTCTGATCCTCATACTTTTAAGGTAGGCACTTCAGCCATCTCCCTCACCCTCAAATTCTTTTTCATAGACACACATACACACACCCAGTTTTATGGGTTGTTCTTATAACAGTGATTGGTTCACAAGTTTTGATATAATAATCACCTAAGAAGGACCTAAAAGGCAAAGTCCAAGGATTCTAAGTTTGGATGATGTCCATGAAGATCATCTTAACGGTGCAATAGATAATTCTGTTGTAGATATTGTAAGGAGCATACTAAATGAAAGTATCACCCTCCAGCATTATTACCTCCCTTTTCTGGAGGCAACTTCCTTAAATGGTACTTGAAGGTAGCTCTAGATTTCAGTTCTGGTCAGTCTTTTTGCCTGTGGTAGACTATAATGTCTTTGCTTCCTATATAAATATACTGTTTGTTTTCTTCTCACGAAAACCTTATAGGACAGACAAGGAACTGTTTTTATATTATATGAACCTCTGAAGAGATACAAGTTGGGCATGTTGTAAGTATGAAGTATGTCTATTATGATATGTAATAAGTAAAAAATGTCTATAACACCAACAAGATTGGTGCTTCTCTTGAGGTTTTGTTTTTGTTTTGTTTTGTTTTGTTTTGTTTCGAGACAGGGTTTCTCTGTGGCTTTGGAGGCTGGTCTCAAACTCATAGGGATCCAACTGCCTCCAGAGTGCTGGGATTAAAGGCGTGCGCCACTACCGCCCAGCTTCTCTTGAGTTTTAATCAGCATGCTAATTTATCTTGTTTTATTTAGATCCTCTAGTACTTCACAAAGTACCTGTAGATGTTGGTGTCAGGTTCCTTATAAATATGGTATCCCAATCATCAGGTAGGAGTCTATGCTTAACATAACTTCATACACATAGAAGGCTCACGTGTTACTGATAGGGAGCCAGCTCAGATGACCCAGTTGTGAAAAGCTAGTTGTCATTCTGGAGTGCTTAGAAAAATGCTCTGGTGACCTGGGCAGATGTTCTTCCAAAGTAGGTACAGTCTTCTCAGGGAATATGGATTCTGAGCAGAGTCCTGATGTTAGATCCACTCATCCCCATTGATGCTTTTGCATTCATAGAAGTGCTGTTTCTTTCCCTTTGGAGATAGAATGTGGCTACAGTTTAATCATACCAGAAATGAGCTCTCTACCTGTAACATCTACACAAACATGCATTCATTTCATCTATTCAGGTATTTACATCCAGAATAACAAGGAGTAAGAAAGGAGCACCTTCTGCGTCCCAGTGACATCCTATCCCTCAGCTCCCTCTTTGCTCTGAGCCCTAACCTAGATGTCTACACTCTACAGATGTGCTACTGGGGTGCTAGGGCAGTAGCAGGGCAAAACCAGCAAGGCAACTACTGTGACTAGGCAAACAATACAGCCAATTGGATTTGATGTTGGCAAGCTAATAAAAAAATAAGTATTTTCCAGAGTAGGAGTCTAATTAGATGGGAAAGATACAAGCTCCAAGTATATTTTTAAGCTCAGGAACTCAGGCAAATACATTGGTTAATTACAAGAACTAGAAGTCAGAACACGGATATATGAACTCTTACTGTCCACCAGCTGGCATAAAAGGTGAACTACTAAGGACAAGCTGCCTTAGGGCTGCAACTAAATAAACCCACATGCACATGGGATGAGGTGAGGCAGCCAGGTAGGGAAGCCAAATCCCCTTGGATTCAGGTGGATAGGAGCAGGTCATCTGAGGCAAGAAGCCCACACCATTAGCAAAATTTCAGTCACAAAGAGTAGACAGACAACTTGAAAGTCATAAAGGGGGAACCTGGCCATAGGATCTTTAAAATGAGGCCACTTTGGGAGATGCATGAAGGTCAGTAGGAGGCTGTGGAAAGCTTGTCAGCAAGTGGCAGGGCCCAGGGTCAGGAGCAGGATTTGTATCCCAAAGCTGACAGAGTGGCACCAGCAAGTATTAATAGAGCATAGGCAAAGCTCCTGGCATATGGGCCACAGGAAGATTTATGTGGTGGGTTCCTAGGCTTAGAAGTACCAGGCAAGAGGAAGTCCACTACAGAATTTAAGAACTATAAGTGACTTCCATGAACAAGCTCCCAATCATCAAGCTGACCTATCAGCAAGGTAGATTTGATACTTATGCCCACAGAAAAAATAATCAGACTGGTAGTCCTCACCCAGCTGTCCCTACACCTTGACCTGAAAGTTCAGGCAGGAATGTTTTGACCTGCATCACAGCTTCAGCAGCAGAAAAGGCCCTATCAGTGTACTTCCTAGGAAGTCATTGCTACCCACACAGTCTACAGAAAGGGTAGCATTGAAATGAACTTCAGAGTCTACTGCCTTTTCTACTATGTTGTGTGCCCCTTCATTTTCTCATCTCTTATTGCAATCATGAGCTAAAGAATGTTAGAGCAGGGTAGGACCCTGAGGATTAAGCCACACTCGTATTATAGGTAGGAAATAGGCTTAGAGAAGAGATGTGACTTGTTTGGATTTTTGTGAGTTAGGGTACATCATTGTTCACATTTGTACAAAATTGCTGATTTACTTTTTCTGAATATTAGAGAAGATCCCAGATGTCCTTGCAATTCTCACTTGTATCTAGCTGAATGAAGGGGCAGAATAACAGCTACACAAAAGAATTGCACTACACTAGGAACATGGGCAGTGGAGAATAGGTTATTTAAGAGGCAGTGTCCAGGAGATGGTCTCGTTTTTATACAATTTGCACAGAAAAAGAAAAGCTGCTCCTTAATTGTCTCTAGTACTTTAACAAAGGACTTTCAGGAGACGGCTCAGCATGTTTGGCTTTACTAAAATCATGTCATGCCAGGTGTGGCACACCAGGCAATCACCCCTTTAGGAAAAAATGGGAAACAGTTCGAGAGAGGAAGACCCTACAGACCAGACATCTGCAGTTTGGCTTTTCTGGGATAACTTCACAACTCCATTTATTCTGGGATATTTCTGGAAGATATAAAATTGGAGAAATTCCAAGGAAGGGAAATATGAAGAAAATTCTTAAAATGAATTGAAAGAGAAGGCATTTAACCATTTGTACACACATATATCTACACATGCACACATATACCTACAAAATTTTCAGTGGATCTCTATTTTTAATGTATACATGAAAAATGCCCAAGGAGCTTCATGAAGACAGACATTCTCAGATACCCTAGAATCTGTTGCCCTAAGAAGCCAGGGTCTAACACTTAACTCTGGTAATAAAACACAAATTACTTTTCAAAATTACTCAGTCCGGAGTTGATTTTTACTATGATTTATTTTCTTTTTATTTGCTTGTTTGTAGCCCTGACTGTCCTAGAAGTCACTATATAACATGACCAGGCCATCCTGGAACTCACAGAGAGCCACCTGCCTCTGCATCCGATGTGCTGAAATTAAAGGCACACACCATGACCACCAGCTCATTTATTTGCTTAAAAGAAGAGATACTAATGGTTGTCCATTTAATCAGTGGGCTTGTCCTTGGATTTAGGAAATGGAACTCAAAAAGCTCAGAATCACTGATTTAGTCCAAGTCATTTATTATAGAAGAAGGACATGAAGGCTCAGAGACTTGCCACAAAATTATCCAGTGGCAAAACAAAACAAAACAAAACTACAAAACAAAAACTGAACTCCAGTTTTAGAAACTAGGAGGCTTTGATTTCAGGGCTTGTTTTCAAGAGGTGACTGTGAAAGCAGTCCAGTTTTGTCTTCATCCTTGCAGTTGACTTAAGGGGCATCTCACTTGACTTAAGTGTTATCTCCCTTAAGAAATAATACTTACAAAACAATACAGAGAAACCCTGTCTCAAAAAACCAAAAAAAAAAGAAGTAATACTTATTAAAAATTAATCCACTCATGACAGATGTTGTGGCACATGCCTTTAAATCCAGCACATGGCAAGCAGATCTCTGTGAGTTCTAGTCCAGCCAGGACTACATGATGTGTTCCTATCTAAAATAATAATACCAACCCATGCACCTAACTTTTTTTGCTTTTTCCTTTGATAAGGTTTAATATATATATATATATATATATACATACATACATATAAAAAGTTCTCTTGATTTTCTCTAGTGAAACAATAATCTCCTCATTTGACATGTTCTCTGGTCATGGTATAAATGGTATAGAGTAACAGTAGCTGTTCATGAATGGGCACATATATCTTTGAATATGAGTTACTCATAAGAAGCAGAATTTACTTTTTCATATGAAATAGAAAAGTAAAACTCAGACAAGCCTCTAAGAAACCAGAGATGCAAATGTCTCTACAGATAAGAAAAATTTTAGATATGAAAGACACTTATCAACGATTCTTCTCAAAATCAGCACTGCTGTCCTAGTATAGTAGTAGCCTTTTACTAGAAATGACTGAACCTATTGCTATATTCTGCTAAGTTGATTAATAAAAAATATTTATTACACAAATCCTTTCTGTTGACAAGTTAAAATGGAGTCTCATCTTTCATATCTCCCTGAAGATTGCCACCTTGTGAGATTGAAAATACTCATTAAATTCCATCACCAGCAGTACAAATGAGAGGGCGATTGTTTTTAAGCATGTGAGGAGAATCGCTGGTAAACTCATTTGTTTGGATATCATTAACAGAACAATCGGTGTGGATCTCCAGGGGGTCCTCATGACCTTTGCTCGCAATCTCTTCATCATCCATCAGGAAATATCAGCACCTAATATGCAAGGCGAGACCAATTTTAAGGTGAGGTGTTAATTAACTAACGATTCTGGTTAATTTCTATACAAGGGCTGAAAATACCTCATGCTGTATTGTAAACAAGTGCTAAACCATCTTTTTTTCTTCTTGTAAGCAGTACACATTTTACAATGAGCAGGGTCAATTTTGTAAGGTTCCCATTGAACGCGTTAGTTAAATTTAATAGTTTGAAACTTTTTCTTTGAAATATAGTAGACTTGCTTTAACTTGCTGCCATTTTGAAAGTCAGGCTCATAAGACAACAGAGCTCTCTGATGTTGGAGGTGAAGCTGAAACGTCGCAATAGAACCAAAATTAAGACTGTAACTAATTTACGATGTACCTATCTGTAGATGCGTGTCTGGCTAGTGATTCCTACAGTGCCTAGTTTCTAGAGCCAGATAAGCACTCAGACCCAAGAACAGTGTATGTTAAAGAGAAGCAGAAGAAAAAAATCTAAGCACCTATGTGGGTCATCTACTCATTCCATTTCTCCAAAGTGAAGTGACCTTCATCACTAACCTTTTTAAACCTCTATATGGCCTCTAAAACTCCAAAGTCTCCACAGTCTAGAATGCAGGAGACAGCTGCCGAGAAGAGCTGCTGGCGTGGTCCTGACAAGCAAAGTTTTCATCTTACTCCTAGTGTAGGCCTTAGCAGTATTTGAATGGATCACATAACTCTAAGAACGCAAATGGAAATCACATGTCACTTTTCTCTTAAATAGACAGCTCAAGCTTCATACAAAATATTAATCTTTCTCCTTTTTTACTCAAGCTAGGGGTTAACCCCTTTAATAACAATGTTTCTGCCTTCAAATGATTTAAGACCTAAGAGACTGACCGTTGGTTTTTGCCCATCATGACTGAGATGATTTGACAAAAATAAAGTAAAAATTATCTTATGTGAACAAATTAGACTAAATTGGTGCTTCTGCATTTTTTGTGCTGCAATCCTAAAGTCTAAGGACAAGCCTGTCCTTTCTAGCTGCTACTCACTAGTCTCTCTCTCTCTCTCTGTCTCTCTCTCTCTCTGTCTCTCTCTCTCTCAGAAATTTTGAAAAGTAATTTGTGTTTCATTACCAGAGTTCATGCTAGACTCTTGATTCTTCCTAAGAACAGATTCCTGGCCTCTACCCAAATTCACAAAGTCAGAATCTTGGTTTGGGGTAGTGAGGCCCAAGAATGTGCGTCTGTCCAAATAAGGCTCACTTCTGTGTCATTATTCAAAATTACCAAGGAATCTGCAAAGGTTTGGATACAGTTTGTGTGTGTATCCCAGTGGTTCCCGTGGTGGAAGCCTGATCTTCAGTTTCCCCGTGATATGAGATGAAGCTGGTCTGGAATTCATTGGGGAAATCCTGCTTGAATGAGGCTGATGTAATTCTCATAGAATACTATTTAGTCCTTGCAAGAGAAGACAAGACTGGCCTCTCCCCACTTTCTGGGCTTCCTGACTCCCCTTGACATCTCTTCCTATTGAGTAGAATTCCCATTATGGTGCCATTTGCTAAGGGGTAAGAGACTGTATTGACACCCAATCTTGGACTTTCAGCCTCCAAAGTTGTGAGCTAAAGTATGTATAATAGGATGAAATGGGGATAACAGAAACAGACCCATATTTTATTATTTCTTTTTTTATTTAAATTAGAAACAAGCTTGCTTCACATGTCAATCCCAGCTCCCTCTCCCTGCCCTTCTTCCCCACGCCCCAGCAGCCCCCCCATGCTCCCACCCCATCCCCACTCCATTCCCCAGGGAGAATGAGGCCCTCCATGGGGGATCTCCAGAGTCTGTCATTCTGTTCAGGGCAGGATCTAGGCCGTCCCCCATGTGTCCAGGCTGAGAGAGCATCTCTCCATGTGGAATGGGCTCCCCAATCCATTCGTATGCCAGGGGTAAATACTGATCTACCACCTGAGGCTCCATAGATTGCCAAGGCCTCCTCACTGACACCCACATTCAGGGGGTCTGGATCAGTCCCATGCTGGCCTCTCAACCATCAGTCTAGGGTCCATGAGCTCTCCTTTGTTCAGGTCAGCTGTCTCTGTGGATTTTACCAGGCTGGTCTTGACCCCTTTGCTCATTGCTCCTTCCTCTCTGCAACTGGATTCCAGGAGTTCAGTTCAGTGTTTAACTGTGGGTGTTTGCCTCTGCTTCCATCAGTCATTGGATGAAGGCTCTAGGATGGCATATAAGGTAGTCATCAATCTCATTATCGGGGAAGGGCATTTAAGGTAGCCTCTCCATAGGTTATGATTTCTAAAAGGGTACTAAAACAATTCAGTGGAAGAAAAAAAACAGTCTTTTTTAATACAAAGTGTTGGAACAAACAAGACTTACAAATAATAAGGTTGGATTTCTCCAAAGTACCCTTTTCAAATAGATGGATCAACAGCCACAATATAGCAGTTAAAACTACCAGATGCTTAGGAAGAAACACAGGGATCAGGCTATTTTAGGTATAAGGCTGTGATGCCTAAAGCAAAAGTGATCAAATTAAAAACAAATTATTTGGGCCTTATCAAATGAGACATAGAATGTTGTAAAAACATTTGCAAAGTATATATTTGAGAAGCCTATAGTATCAGGGTATATAAAAATATTCTTATAACACAACAATAGAAATGCAAATAATTCAGTTAAAATGATTTGAATAGATATGTCTTCAAAGTAGATATACAAATGGCCAATGTATGAATATTAAACATCATAAGTCATTAATGAAATACAAATCAAGATTATATCTAGCTAAAATGGCTATAATCAAAAAGAAAAGAAATAACAAACATTTGCAAGGATTTGGGGAAAATGGGAACTGGAAATGTCACATATTGTTGTAAAAGAGTTTGATAATAACTTAATAAATTAAATATAAAATTACCTATGATACAATAACTCTATTCTTAGATATGTACACAAAATTATCAAAAACATTGTACATTAAGGTTCATTGAAGCATGCTTCATTATAACTAAAAAGTATAAACAACCCAAATGTATATCAGTGAGAAAATAGTAAATTCCATTATAGTATATGGATAATATTCATATAATGGAATACTATGGAATATTGTTCAGCCATAAAAGAAATGATGTGTGTTGACAGTGTGTACTACAACATGGACGAATGTTGAAGACATTGTGTTAAGTGAAAGAAACCAGTCATAGAAAGACAATTCCTGTATGATTCCATTATATGAAGTAAGCAAAGCAAGCCAATCCATAGACAAGAGATGGGTAAGTGGTTGCCAGGGGCTGGGGGAAAAGGGAAGAAAGGGAGAACACGGGCTAATAGATAGAAGGTTCCTATCTGGGATGATGAAGATGCTATGAAATCACACCATGTGTTTGCCTACTGAATTCTATACTAGAAAGAGATGTCTGATGGAAGCAGAAACAGGCACTCACAGCTGAGAACTGAGCCATACTCCCAGAATCCAGTTGTGGAGAGAGAGGAGGGATGACCAAATAAACCAAGACTGAACTGGAGATACCCGCAGAAACAGTTGACCTGACCTAATGAGAGCACGCAGACCCAAGTTATAAAGTGGGGGAACCAGCATTGGACCAAACCAGCTAGGAGGCCAAGACAGTCTATGGAACCTCTAACAGTGGAGCCAGAGTTTATTCCCAGGCCACAAATGGGACCTGGGAAGTCCATCCCCTACTATTGCAGCCCAGATACGGAAAGGAGGGCCTGGGCCCTCCCCCAAATGATGTGATGGATTTTGATGATCCCTCGTGGAGGATCTCACTATCCCTGGAGAGTGGATGGTGGGTGGGTTGGGGGGTTGGTGGGAAGCATGGAAGAATGGGAGGGTGAGGGAATGGAGAGACGGATATGTAATTTTCTATAAAATAAAAAAAATGTGGACACACACACACACACACAAAAAGAGAGATGTCTCCATGGGAGAGGGCCTAGGCCCTGCTCCAAATGATATAACAGACTTTGAAGATTAAAGGCCTCGCCCTCCCTGGGGAGCAAAATGGGAATGGGATAGGGGGCTGATGGGGGGCAGGGGAGAAGGGGAGGGAGAGGGAACTGGGATTGACATATAAAACAAGCATGTTTCTAATTTAAATAAAAAAATAAAATATCTACTGTCAGAAAAACAAATTAAAAAAGAGATGTCTCATATAGTAAGACAATTCCTTAATATACATAAAGGAAAATAGGAAGCTGTCAGCTTTGTTCCCAGAAAACAATGAAAATAGTCTTTCAACCTACTAGCCCTCCTTTTAAAGTATCTTAGACTGCTACTTCTTAAATTGGTTTTTCTGACCTACCATGGCAGCTGACTAGCCCTCCTTTTAAAGTGTTTTATATTGCTACTTCTCAAGTTGTTTTTTCTGACCTATCATAGATTAATGCTTTTTATCTGGTACACCAAGTTGACTAGAAACATCAAATAATAAAAAACTAAAAATGTGCAAAATATAAACCTAATGTTTTCATTGTTAGACTTAATGAATATAAAAATTCTAGGATATAAAATTTTTGAGTTCTAGCTCTTTTTTGCCTGTTTTGTTTTGTTTTTCAAGACAGGGTTTTTCTGTGTAGGCCTGGCTGTCCTGGAACTCACTCTGTAGACCAAGATGGCCTTGAACTCACAGAGATCCAACTGCCTCTGCTTCCTGAGTGCTAGGATTAAAGGCGTGTGCCACCATCACCTGGCTTCTAGATCATTTTTTGAAAACACTCATCAGCAATTCTAAAAACCAGTAATATGTGGATGGGTGCCAGTGAGTGGAACACATTTTGAGCAAAATTGATCTAAACCACACTTAATTCCAAAAAGGAATAAATACTTGAGGAGAGGTAGGTGTTATAAGAAATCTGTAAAGTAATAAATACTGTTTTTACTGTTATTTCCAGACTACCATTGATGATATCGAAACCATTTTAGGAGTAACTGAAGAAAATAAAATGAGATTTGAAGGAGAAAAAGAGCTCAAAGACAAGGAGAAAAACCAGTATGAGCCTGTTGAGATACACTTAGATACATCATGACTGGATCCCTGTCTAGAGAAAGAAAGAACAATATTTCCTTTGCTGTTAGTGTAAAAGTGGGGAAGTTAAGTTTGCTTTGTTTGCCAAGAGGTAAATCAGAACAAATTGTAATGTAATAGTCTTTAAAATCCTATTTATTATGTAATGTTGTTATCTTACTCATTAAACAAACCTACTGGTGTTTTCACTTGTGAGTGGTAAGTAATCCCTTCCTCCTCCCAAAGTAACCAGCCGTGACCTCAGAAAAGAAAAAAAACCAGAAGGAAGCCTTTGCCTCACTCCTACATCTACTTCTCCATGATTTCAGTACTGTGACACCTAGTTTTCTTCTTCAAGAGTCACTTAGCTTCCGCCTCTAAAACAATGAATAAATCTTGTCTAAACATAAACATCTTCTTCCCCCATCAAATTAAATCAGTTTAAGTGATTCTTTATCATTCACTGTTTACACTGTACCAAGCACTTATTGTTTGTTTTTGATGTCACAGAGTAAGAAAAGCAGACATGAAGTTAGCCACGACATCTGAATGTGTCTAGGTGGCAGTATCTGCTCTTGGTTTAAGACAGTGTAACTGGAGCCCCTAGCTTGGTTAAAAATCCCTGTTGCAAGTTTTCTGTATTACACAACAGTAGGATTTTTGCAAGCTGAATTCGACTGCACCTTTTAAAGGGCAACTGGCTGAAGTTAAGTGTGCCATGAACCACCGGTATTTGCTTCATACATTGTCTAAAAACATTTCTACATTTGCCAGCTTTACTGAAGGATAAAATAGGCAAGGTGCAACACCAAAATCACATACAGTTTTAAAGAACAACCTTTACATCTATAAAAACACATACACTCGGGAAATATTTTTTACCTGTGGAATTACAGTCATTCTAAAACTGCTTCAGCCACAGGCTAAGAGTTTCTGCAATAAAATTAACATTTCTCTGTGTGTTGGCTTTTGTTTAGCCATCGTAGGAAATACATTAATTAGCCAGGTTTCCTGTCTGTGCTAGGTACAGTGATGACCTCTTTTTCTTGCCAGATCTCTCTAATCCATACGAGGGGCCTATTGTCCAGACACTTGACGGATAGGAAGTGCTGCATGCCCATTATGGTCGCTCTTATATCGAAGCCAGAGCAACATAAGGTCCAGGAGACTCATTAGTTCACTGGCACAATCATGTCCTGAGAGTAAATGAAACCCTCTGTCTCCTTATGGCTCTCATCTGCTCTGGACTTTAAAAGAAAACTGTCTCCATTTTGTTCAGCACAGCAGTGGATCATTCACATGGTCAAAACCCTCCTCACAAAACCATCAAAGCCATAGGGAAGTTCCGAGTGTGGCCTGTGATTAGCACTCCTGAGCCTGGAGCTGCTGGCAACAGTAAAGGAGCTTGCTTTCCTGTAACTTTTTTTTTTAAACAACATGATTGGTTTCTCAAACAATGCCACTTGCCTCCTTTGCATACATCATTATTTTGTAACGCAAAACACTTGATTCCAAATTCAGGCCTCTCCAGATTCAGGCCCATACTAAGTAATAGGAAGAAGGTTCTCTGCCCAGACACCTACAGTTTCACAATAAAAGGCAAAATATCTGTAGACTAACACAATCACATCAAGTAATTAAGTGGAAGAAGCCAGAGGACCAGATTAAATTAGTGAAATGTTTTAATTACAGAATATTTGCAAAGAAACACAGTCCATTATCTTTCAGCATATATATGTTACAAAGATACTGTGTAGCTAGCAAACTAAATTTAGTTTGAAAACAAGCTTATGTGTGTAGTCTAAAGCATCCCAAATAGTCAAGTGAAGATGAATTGCTGAATTCTTACTAACCTGTATTAGCAAAAGTTGGAAAATGACAGTAGAGCTAATTCTGTATGAGATGTGACCTACTGCCTCCTGATGAGTTTCAGTGGAAAAGTGCACTCACTACTTAGGAAAGCATTGTTGGTGAGTGTCTTTAATGTATTGTTCATTTCATATTAACTCTAAAGAAACCAATAGGTCATAAACCATGCTGTGCACTGAAATACCTTCTGCCCACTGGTTACTTAGACTTGCCACTCACTGAACATTTAGTAGGACTAGGTACATGCTGGACCAGAAGTTATGTAATTCTGTTGCATCTTCCCAACAAACCCATGCAGGTAGTTATTACTACTGTCCTCATCTTAGATATGAAAAAATCAAGACTTAGTAAAAGTGCTTCACCCCATGCTTTAGATTAAATGAAAATAAATTTGAGATTTGCTCCTTTTGGCCATGATTTAACACTTGTTCCAGGTCACACAACACATTTGCTTTCTTTTATAACAATTCTAGTGTGTTGCCTAAAATATAGGAAAACAAGTTAAACACATTTCCTGATAACAAAATCAACTTGCTAGGGCAGTCCTGGGGAGGGCTGGAGCAAGGGCATGGGAATATATATATCCATGTATAAAATTTTCAAATGATAAATACAAATTTTTAATTTAAGTATTTACTTATTTTGAGATAGGAACTTACTATTTATCCCTGGCTGACCTAAAACTCACTATGTAGACTAGGCTGGCCTCAAATTCACAGATATCTGCCTCTCTGTCTCCCAAGTGCTGGGATTGAAGGCATATATCGCCAAGGCAAACAAATTTTATTTTTAAATAAAATCACTTTATTCTAACTAACTCACAAATAAAACTATCATATAGCTTCATTAAGGAAACCACTCCAGCACTTGCCTAGTCCCCAGTTCTACATCTCAATGAATTTCTTTACAGTGAGACTGGCTACTCTAAAACAATGGAGCTTTGAATGGAGCTTTGTGGTCCTTTGAATAAGAATGGCCTTCTGTGGAGTGGCACTACTTGAAAGGATTGGGAGGTGTGGCTTTGTTGGAGGAAGTGTGTTATTGAGGGTGAGCTTTGACTTTTCAAAAGCCCTTGCCAAGGCCAGAGTAACTGTCTGTCTATCTTCTCTCTGCCTGTGGCTCGGGATGTAGTTCTCAGCTACTGCTCTCGCATCTGCCTGCATGCTTCCTTGCTTCCTGTCATGCTCAAGATGGACTAAATCTCTGGAACTGTAAGCAAGCCCCAATTAAATGTTTTTGTTTATAAGAGTTGTCATGGCCTTGGTGTCTCTGCACAGCAATAGAACACTGATTAAAACAACTATCAATTACATTTCATCCTTTGAGCTTCATACCCATCCCCTTTAAAAGTAGGAAGTTTGTGGTGAAAATTCTATTACACTTTTAACATTCTTTTCCTAAATTTACAATAAATATATAGCAAAAAGTCTACTTGTGAGCAGGCAGTATCACAAGACATCACAGTTATGTGATCAAATAATTAAGGGGAAAAGGACATTTTGTCAGTAGAATTCTCCTGAGGTGTGAGATCTGTGAGACTTTGGAAAGGAAATGACACAGGAAAGTGTTGGAGTTTGGAAATAGGGAAGTTCCATTGTGAAGTTTTGAGAAATGAGTATGAGGTCAAGAAGTGGGACTCTGACAAGATGGAGATCAGTTAGGGAAGGGGAGCATTTCATTTGTAACAGCCTAAGAAGTATAAACACCCTGATTTTCAAGTGTGAAAATACCCTTTCTATCATGAGTGATTTATTAGTAACCATCTGATAGTTTTAACAATTAATAACCATTTGTATTCATCTGGCACCTTTCTTCTAAAGAGCTCAAAGCACTTTCCATTTGTTATCTCATTAATTCCCCACATTGTCCCTGTGGGGAAAGTAATAAGTATCTTAACATTTAAATGTTTATCTTTCAAAATTTCTCAAGCATATATTAATTATATTTTCAAAACTATAAATGTTCATTAGTTTTATTTTACTGTTCCTCTAGCTTTAATGTGCAGAGCTCGTTTGTTCAATTCCTCAAATGCACTAATCATAGTCTTATTTGAAAAACTAAGATGGCAAGATCACATGAGGGTGGAAGACAGGAAGGAAGGAATCATTTGCTTTTGCTATTTTCCCTTCCAAGTACTCACTGTGCTAGACCCTGCTTAGATTCCAAGATCAGACGAGACTTATATTTCAGGATGATATGGCCATAGCCTGCCTTTGCTTTTCTCACTATAAAATGTTTGTTTCAATCCACTACAAGTGTAAATGGAGTATGCTATGGATCCTTTCTCTTTTGTTACATGGTTTCAGTGTGCCTCCAAAGGTATGTGTGCTGGTAGCTTAGTCTCCAGGCATAACACTATTGAGAGTTGGAAGATGAAAGAAAGTTAATTCATAGGCACTCCCCCTTGGAAGAGGTTAATGTAGTTCTCTGAGGATGGAGTTAATTTTTCTGCAAGAGCCAGTTGTAAAACAAGGCTCCCACACATGCTCTGGGTTTCCCTTTCCCGTTTTTTGTTCTGTCATACAACCAAGGGGCCCCTAATCAGATATTGGCACTATGTTGTTTGGAGTTTCTAGTCACCAGATGATGAACCAAATATGCATCTCATTGTTAAAAAGAGACAATTTTCAGGTATTTTGTTATAGAAACAGAATGGACTGAGACACCATTCCTCCACAGCACATACCACAGATTAGTCAGCAGTGTATCTAAGAGCCTGAGTTTATAAAGTAAGCTGTTATTTACATAATTTTTTGAAACCTGATGTGTTCTCTTGGAGCTTTAGGAGCTACATTCCAAAGACACACAGACTTAATAAGGGCCAGAAATTTTTTGTTCCAGCTCTCCCTCTCTTCAGTCTAGTCCTATCTCCCACAATTTTCTATGTAGATAAATGGCAGATGGTAATACCTGCTCCTTAAGGAAGCCACAGAGATTAAATAGCCAGTGTTGGGAGAGTATTTCAAAGATGAAACATTCTGCATAAATGTTTAAGCATTATTATTACACTGCTACTTCAAATGGAAGTTCTAACTTTGAAATGTGATTATACACTTTCCAGGAAAAAAAAAACTTCATAACTACATATATAGGTTTATTTTTCACTCTAACAATCTAACTCATGGTTGTGAAACTTTATTGCACTTGATGGAAGGCCTTGGCTTTTATTAGTTTTAAACTGCTGGTTTCTGGGGTATTTATGTAAATGAGGGAAAGACACCAAAACAGTAAATAATAAGCATGTCCCTGCTGTTTAAAAATCTGTTGGTAAAAACAACCTAAATATAGCACAGGAAAATATAGCTTTGATACCAATGAATAAAGTAGATTTGGAAGGT